AATCTCACCATTTGGAAATTCTTAACCAAATGCAAAAGCTGAATTTCTTCCATCAATCTATTAAGAAGTATTTTTTATGAAATATAATTAATCAGCTCTAATTACGCCTATTTACATTTTAGATTCAAATTAGCTTTGAAAAAGTATAACATCTGTGAAGATTTTAATGAACCAAACAATTTTTTTGGAACTTTCTGCTTGCACTACTGCTTAATAGAAACCTTGAAGTCATTGAATGTTCCTATTTGTAAAATTACGTACTCTTCGATTGGCCAACTGACTGCTGCATACGCTGCAGAAGTTCTTAGTCTGGATAAAGTTATTTTGATAGGAAAAGGATTGATTGGAAAAAGTAATAGAACAGCAAAATTTTTGAGTGAAGAACTTAGACAAGTCATGCTGCAAAAGAAATTAACTAAACGTAGTTTATCAAAAACAAACATTGATCATTTTCAATATGTTTCTGATAAATATATTGTGAACAACTTACTCAATTCTTCTGCAAATGAATGGAGTAAGAAAGATGTTATTATTGGTGTAGATTTTGAATGTGCGGGCGATTTTCTTCAAGTAGTTCATATGATTCGCAGAGAAACGACTGTGAACGATATGTTAATTAAATTTGGGGAATTGTATGAATTGGGAATGGATTTCGATTTGGAAAAGTTGTATCCAATTCAATGGCCAGTTAAGAGAGGAACGTCGATGATTTCTCCATTGATCAAATGGAAACATGATGATGACTTTCGGACACCAAAATATCAAGTTGTTGAAAGTAACGAGATCGAGAAACATATAAACACATCTAATAATCATTTTAGCTTTTATAAAGGACACGTTTTTAATGGTATGAATTAGTACGAGTTTTGTAACAATTATAATAAATAATTCATTTTTAGGAAGAACTATTTTTCCTGCTACTGGATATTTATTCATAATATGGGAGTTCTACGCTTTAATTAAAGATATATCGATGAAAAATATGAAGATTTGCTTTGAAGACGTTAGATTTCATATAGCCTCGACACTAGCTAAAGATGGAACTTTTAGCTTTTACTTAACTATTCAAAAGACCGGGTATTTCGAAATATCCCAAAGAAACACAACTTTGGTTACAGGTAGAATCTTTGAAGTCGAAACTTGCGATATAGAATACAAAGATAGAGTGATTGATCCCAA